ACTATTTGTTTCACATCTTCATTCGGTGTCATTGAAATCGGTAAGTTTTCGCGATAGAACCAATTTCTGTCAGATTTGTAAATCTTAGCAAGGTCGTAAAAGCTTTTGTTGTTTCTTCTGACTAAATGCAACATAACCATATCTTTATCTTCTTCATTTTCCATCTCTTCAGTATAAATCATATACTTATAGTTCTTTTCCTTTCCTTTTGGTACCGAACGTGGTATTCTTTTCTGAATGCTTTTGTCTTTTGCTTCAAGCTTGTTCTCTAGCTCTTCACGTTCTTGTCTATGAATTTCGTCAAGAAGTCTGTAAATATACCAAGCATAACGAGGCGAAGCCCACATTGCAACAGCATTTACAAGAAGTCTATGTACATAATATCCTCTCAAACCGTTTGGCAATTTTTCACGATTTTCATAGAGTTTTGGCGACTGGGGTTTTTTACCTACTCGCTGTTCTTCACTGTTTTCATAGAGTTTTGGCGACTGGGGTTTTTTACCTACTCGCTGTTCTTCACTGTTTTCAGAAAAAAGTATGTCTCGCTGTGCTTCGCTTAAGAGTTCAATGGTGCTTTGGTTCCTAAACCAGTCTTTAGGAAGCTTAGTATCTGGAGCAAAACATGCTGTCAAAATACTTTGCATTTGGTACATGTCATCTTTGACCGAACGAATGAGACGGAGTTGTTTGTTAAACTGTATGTACTCATATTCTTCATTTATAGCTTCATGAACGATAGCAGTTGTTGTGTTCTCTGTTGTTGACATTACTGTCTTTACATACAAAATAAAAAAATATTTTATAAAAAATTAGCGTTATTTTTTCTATCTTAAGGAAATTCATGAATTTCATAGAGTTTTGGCGACCCAGATAAAAGTCGGTCTCGCTGTTCTTCACGATTTTCATACGGAATCTCTTCTCTCGGTTTTCCGAGGGAAGCAAGCATATGCCATTTTACTCAGAATTTTGTTGCTGAATTCAATAAAAATATATTTTAGGTGAAGAGGTGAGATCTCACCTGTTTTCTCACCTGTTTTCTCACCTCATGAATTTTCATGATTTCATCGTATATGTTTTGTCAAACATGAACGTACATGTTTTGTCAAAACTTCTTCGTACATGTTTTGTCAAAACTTCTTCGTAAATGTTTTGTCAAGACTTCTTCGTAAATGTTTTGTCAAGACTTCTTCGTAAATGTTTTGTCAAGACTTCTTCTTCGTAAATGTTTTGTCAAGACTTCTTCTTCGTAATGAGCGTAAATCAGACAAAAATAATGTTTAGGGTAGAAGGTTAGATCTAACCTGTTTTCTCACCTGTTTTCTCACCTCATGAATTTTCATGATTTCTTCGTACATGTTTTGTCAAAACTTCTTCGTACATGTTTTGTCAAACATGAACGTACATGTTTTGTCAAGACTTCTTCATCGTAATGAGCGTAAATCAGACAAAAATAATGTTTAGGGTAGAAGGTTAGATCTCACCTGTTTTCTCACCTCTTTTCTCACCTCATGAATTTTCATGATTTCATCGTAAATGTTTTGTCAAGACTTCTTCATCGTAATGAGCGTAAATCAGACAAAAATAATGTTTAGGGTAGAAGGTTAGATCTCACCTGTTTTCTCACCTCTTTTCTCACCTCATGAATTTTCATGATTTCATCGTAAATGTTTTGTCAAGACTTCTTCGTAATGAGCGTAAATCAGACAAAAATAATGTTTAGGTGAAGAGGTGAGATCTCACCCGTTTTCTCACCTGTTTTCTCACCTCAGTTATTTTATAAGCGTTTTACATGAATTGTACGATGTATATTTGAAATCCTAAACAATTTCGTAGCTTCTATTTCTTCTGTCAGTATGTCAAAAGTTTTAACTATGCCGAAGGTTTCTTTATACTTCTTCTTGACGTCAGATAATAGGAAATCGTCAGCAGTTGGATAGTTTTTGTTCAGAAATTCTAACATGTTCATTTTATCTTCTGCTGGCTTTTCTGCTTCTTTCTTTAAGTCTGCATAGTCGTTTCTCATTCTTTCTATCTCTTTGACGGAGTAGTTATATTTCCTAATTGCTGCTTTACATTTAGAACATTGCGGGTTCATTTTTGCGTTATATTCTGAAACCTTACCTGCTAAAACAACTAAGGCGTCAATGGTTTTCTTTAACTCAAAAGCTGCTGGTTTTATCTGTTCATTCCATACCTTACCTCTTCTATCTTTATCTCTTATCTGCCATACACATTCTGCAACTAACGAAACAAAGTTGTCGTATGTCTTAAATTCTTCAGATTTATATATGTCAGAAACATTCTTATATACCATATCGCAATCTTTGTCCATAACTTTATGGTTGCAATGAAAACCAAGGAATTCATAGTTTACCTTTCGTATGAACTTCTTTATTTCTACTGAGTCAGTTGGTTTCACTTCAATTTCGTCAAATTCAGGAATAGTGAGTTTTTGTTGTTGGATTTCAGGTAGTTTAGGTAAATGGTCAATAATGTCCTGCATTTCATAAAGATACTGTTCATTTTCTTCATCTTTCGCACTACAGTCTAAATTACTTGTTAACAGTTCTTGCTTTATCTTCTGGATTTTTGTTTCGAAAGTATATGAAGAAGGAATGAAGCTTTTCATTTCTACCAACATAGATGTTGGATTCATGACTAACGAGTTTGGTGCTGTTGTTTGAATTGTTGTTGTGCCGATTGTTGAAATCATATCTTTACATACAAAATAAAAAAAAATAAATAAAATAAAACTAACTTTATTTTTTATTTCGGGAAAATTCATGAAAATTCGTGAGGGTAGAAATGAGGGTAGAAAAGAGGTTAGATCTAACCATCTACCCGACATTCTCGTCAAATACAAAAAATGACACTTTTTCATTAGATAACTGTTATTTTTTGACGAAGTGAAGAGTAACACTTCGTCAAAAAAATCCATGAAATCATATCTTTACATACAAAATAAAAAAAATAAATAAAATAAAACTAACTTTATTTTTTATTTCGGGAAAATTCATGAAAATTCATGAGGTGAGAAAACAGGTGAGAAAACAGGTGAGATCTCACCACTTCACCTAAAATATATTTTTTGGTCATTTACGCTCATTACGATGAAGTCTTGACAAAGCATGTACGTTCATGTTTGACAAAACATGTACGATGAAGTTTCGACAAAACATGTACGTTCATGTTTGACAAAACATGTACGATGAAGTCTTGACAAAGCATGTACGATGAAATCATGAAAATTCATGAGGTGAGAAAACAGGTGAGAAAACAGGTGAGATCTCACCACTTCACCTAAACATTATTTTTGTCTGATTTACGCTCATTACGATGAAGAAGTCTTGACAAAACATTTACGTTCATGTTTGACAAAACATATACGTTCATGTTTGACAAAACATGTACGAAGAAGTTTTGACAAAACATAAACGAAGAAGTTTTGACAAAACATGTACGAAGAAGTCTTGACAAAACATGTACGAAGAAGTCTTGACAAAACATGTACGATGAAATCATGAAAATTCATGAGGTGAGAAAACAGGTGAGAAATGAGGTTAGATCTAACCTTCTACCCTAAACATTCTCGTCAAATACAAAAAAATGAAAAAAATGACACTTTTTCATTATATAACTGTTATTTTTTGACGAAGTGAACATTAACACTTCGTCAAAAAAATCCCTGAAATCATATCTTTTATACAAAAAAATGACACTTTTTCATTAGATAACTGTTATTTTTTGACGAAGTGAACATTAACACTTCGTCAAAAAAATCCCTGAAATCATATCTTTTATACAAAAAAATACAAAATAAAACTAATTTTATTTTTTCTATCTTAAGGAAATTCATGAAAATTCAAGAGGTGAGAAAAGAGGTTAGAAAACGGGTGAGATCTCACCACTTCACCTAAAATATATTTTTACTGAATTTAGCAACAAAATGAACGAGGTCAGGATGTATGTTGCTGAATTCATTCATAACACCCTTTGTAAGCTCATAAAATGCTTGTTTTGAGGTCGAGCCACATTTGGCTCCACCGTATTCTTTCAACCAAAACTCAAGAATTTTCCGCATGAATTTTGTATAAAAAGCAACCGTCTGAATTCCGGCGGTTGCTATATTCTTCACAAAACATTTACGTTTAGTTTACGAAGAAGTCATGAAAATTCAAGAGGGTGAGAAAACAGGTGAGAAAAGAGGTTAGATCTCACCTCTTCACCTAAACATTATTTTTGCTGAATTCAGCAACAACTTTCTCTCAATTGGAGCTGTGGCATACTCTTTGCGTAAGCGGTTCAGACCTTCTTCGAACTCTTGGTCTCTCTTCGATTTGGATTGAGATTGGAATTGCTGGGGTGGAGCTTGCTGGAACATCCAAGGGTTGGGGCAGTAAGGCATAGGCTGAGGAGGGTAGTTCGGGAAGCCTTGTAGTGGGTAGTAACCTTGAGGTGGAAATTGGTAGTAATTCGGAGGTACTTGCTGGAACTGAGGTGCAGGGGCTGGTGCTTTAGGTTCCTCTGGTTTGGGAATGGACTGGGTTGGTGGGACGTGGGACATTCGTTTGTGGCTTAACCGTCAGACCACCAACGATAAAAATCTCTGCTACTAGCAGTACTGCTACTGACAGTAGCAGTACTTTTACTGACAGTAGCAGTACTTTTTCTGACAGTAGCAGTACTTTTACTGACAGTAGCAGTACTTTTTCTGACAGTAGCAGTACTTTTACTGACAGTAGCAGTACTTTTACTGACAGTAGCAGTACTTTATCGTCGAAAACCCTCTCAAATTTTCCTTTTTACTGACAGTAGCAGTACTTTTACTGACAGTAGCAGTACTTTTACTGACAGTAGCAGTACTTTTACTGACAGTAGCAGTACTTTTACTGACAGTAGCAGTACTTTTACTGACAGTAGCAGTACTTTTACTGACAGTAGCAGTACTTTTACTGACAGTAGCAATGGTCGAGGTCGAACCTACCGACGAAGCAATTTACCTAATTTAAATTAACGAGCTTGTTAAAGACTTCCTCAGGCAGAATGTAAAAGGCAAGCTTGTTAACGGTTGGTTGTCTGGAAGAGGTGCGCTGAAAATCGAAATTGAAACCGGAATTCCAATTGAGGTACCAGACGGGACAGCCTACGACGACATAAAGGACGCCAAAAGAGAAGCTCTTCTCAAGTTCTTTGCCAAGCGTCCTTGGATACAACTTCCAAACAGAGAGAGTCCAATTCCACGAATTATACAAATTCTCAAGGGTCTCCTTCACTACTCTGGTCAGCCGTTCTACATAACCTGTGAAGGCGACATCCAACCAGTTCAGTAAACATCTCATTTTAACTCACTTTTTTTATGTTTTTTGTGAAAGTGTCAAAAATAAATTGTTTTCATGAGTTTTCTACGATGTTAGAAAAGTGGTTAGGAAAACGTGTTAGATCTAACATGCTAACAAAACATTATTTTTTCAATACTTTTTCAGCACTTTTCCGTAGTTATATATGAAGACAATTCGAGATAAAAGTCATAGTACAATGGAATAATATGTTGCACACCATTTGTTGTGAACCAAACTTGAAAGTCAGAGAAACTGTTACTAGGTGGTTCGTAGAATTTAGAAGCAAAGTCATAAAAGTCCTTAACCAATACATAGAAAACTATGTTGCTTGAACTGAAACTTGCATGACACATAACATTTTGAGGGTCAAACACGTTTCTATAAACTGTCAAATCTGCTGGTGGAAGTATAAATTAAATGGACCATCTGGTGGGTAATGGTTCGTTCTGTTTAGTAACCGAAGAAATTGTGCCCAAGAACGTTTGTCTACTTTCCAAAATAAAAACTCTGTATCTCTTGGAGGGTTAATTTCAATCTTTTGAAATGAAACGGTGGAGTTCATCTTGTCATATTCTAGTTTCAGTAGTATGTTCCATTTAGTAAAGAGTCGTATTTTTCTTGAAATTCCCAATAATATTTGTTCATTTGAGTTTGAAAGTCATTTAGAGATTCTCAAGACTTTCGTCTGAACGAACTGTAAAGATTCTCATTTCATCAAATTTGTCTATTAGACCATCAGAACCTTTATACTGCCCATGAAAATATACTGCGAACATAAATGCGTTAGTTCTATTTTGAAAACAAAACTCTTCTAAATGCTATTGCCTTTGCATCTGAAGGACTTTGAAGCCAACGAATTGGATAGTCAAACCTGTATGCTCGGGATGAATTTCTTCATCTGAAATAGTCCTACCAGCATTTGTAAAGATATAGTCTAACGGTTTTGTATCTGCTACTTTTGTTCTTTGTTTTTCAACCTGAAGCATTTAATATATGTAAAATATATTGTTTTAAAATGGTATGCCATTTCATATTTCTCATCTAACAAACAAGTTTCCCAACGGTCTTCTCCAACAAACTCAGCGTACATTTCAAATAAAAATTTAAAATGTCACTTTTTTGAAAAAACGTTTTTATTTCATGCAATGTTTAACACATCGAAAGGCATGTCCATAAGACGTTCTTCTTCTAACCTCTCTAGTCTGTTTGGATAATTGGCACGTGCTGTTTCCAAATCCATTTCGTAGCGAAGACCAGACAATTTGTCATAGACTTTTATGGGTCTCCCTTCCTATATTTAAACTTCTTCGAAACTCTCCAACCATATCTTTGTAACTCTGCTTTTATTCTAGCAGACTTTCTATCCATTCTATATGGGGGCATTTTTATAAAAATAAAAAAATATTTTTTTTCTTTACTTTACATAACCACCTGCTGCCATAAGTCTTTGACGCCAACCCATACCAGCTAATGAAGGTTGACTTGGTTTAGTTTGGAAACTAAACTTTGGTTTTGGTTTATCTTCAGTTTTTGGTTTTTCTTCTTCTATCGGTTTTTCGTCACTTTTCGGTTCCTCTGACTTTACTTCACTTGCAGGAACAGTTGTGTCGTCAACATCTTCATAAATATCATATGCCATTTGTTTTTGTTTCCTTTCAACTTTTTGTGTTTGTTGTAAAGTTTAGAATATTTCGACTCTAAGTCAATGAGATGTTCTATAATGAACTGTTGGTCAGTGAAGTAAACTTTCCATCTGTTGTCTCGAAAGCTCCTTCAGACTTCAATATTTTATTTGTGAGAGTCTGTTTCTTTTTTGAGATACTAGCCGTTCCATTTTTATGAAAAGTGACTTTGTAGTTAGGGTTTGTATTTCCAGACCTGGCACTTTCTATTATTGAATTTTTCTCTTCATCTGTAAGTTCTTTGACAGGTTTGACAATGGTTCTGAACTTTTTGTTTGTGGTGTCAAATCTACCGTTTCAACTTCTTCGGTCATTTCATCTCAGTAAAAAATTTTAGTTTGTTTTGTTTTCAACTGGTTTGTTTAGGTTTTTTAAGTCGGTCTAAAACTTCCTGAGGTATAGGAAGAACTTGACAAACACGTTGTGTAAACTGCTGGAAGCCGACAAATCCATCTTGAACCCATTTGTCTCAATGCTGTATTGTTCATTTCATCTCAGTAAAAAACTTTACATTCCCCACGTTTGAGGCGGTTGAGGTTGGTTATATGTTTACCCATTGTTGTGCATGGTTATATCCTCTGTTAAAGAATCTTTCACCTTGGTCCATATAGGTCCTGCTTGGTTATAGTAGTCATTTGCTTTGTTATAATAGTTTCCTGCTTGTCTTCCTACATTGTCCATCCATCCTTGAACTTTTCCTCTTGTTTCAGGATTTGGAATAAGATTTGTTGCATCTCGTGCTACATCCCAACCTTTCTGTACAGTTTGTATAATAGGTTGTGCTTTCTCTTTCAGTATACCTAATGTACTCAAAATCTTCCTTCCAATTCCAAATGCACCTCTGGCTATTGTTCCCACTGCGGGTAAAAATCTAGATGCGACTCCTGCTAATGCGCCAAATAAACCCATTTCTTATAGGGTAAAAAATGACGAATCCGAACAAGGACCCCTATGTTTCTAAAGCGACAAAGAAAGCACTCATGATAAAAATCTTTAGTTCAACACCAAATGCTTGGTTTATGGATATCTTGGAAAACATTCCGAGGTATAGAGAAGATGGACCTCCATACTGGTTAATATTTGTTGGGTCAAAACACAAGATACTGTGAAGCCATACCATTATGGTCCAAAAATATTTTAGATGTGAAAACTGCTTTGACAATATTCGTTGACAAATACCATCCAACAAAACTGACATCTGACTGTGAAAGTTCTTTCAAATCAGATGATATTAAAAAACTATCTGCGTTCAAAAAATGTAAACCAATATTTCATTGTCGACCAAAACCATTCTGCTCTTGGTGTCATTGACGGTTGTATAAAAATGTTAAGACTTAAACCAACCACAAGGTGGTGAAGCAAATGAAATGTCATATGACGACAAATATAGACACTTCTCCATGGCAAAGATGAGACAAGTTTTAAATATTTACAATAACGTAAACAAAAAGGTTTGGGAAACCACTCCCCCGAAGAAATGAAAAACAACCCTGACTTAGAAAAGACTATATATTTAATAATTTAGTCAAAAGAGACAAACAAGAAAGAATGCCGGGCTTCAAACTTCAGAAAGGTGACAAAGTAAAAATAGAAATACTAAACGCGACCCATATGAAAATACTATTGACTATGACAACAATGGGAACCCGATAGGTACTCACATTCGTGTTCGTAAAAATAGAAGAAAGTATACAAGAGAATATTATGAAGTTTTAGGCAAACATGGCAAAATGTACACACTGCAAGCAGAAGATAAAACTACTATTGCCAGACCCCGTTTCAAACTTGTCAAAGTTCAAGGTGGTATACTTTCAAAGACAGTTCCTAACAAATATAAGACAACTCCTGACGAATATGCTAAGAAGTTGAAATGACGACTAAGCATTTCTATACCATGCGTAAACTGTCATGTAAGGTGGCATGTATTCTTTACTTTGTCCCGTTGTATGTGTATATCCTGTAACGCGATGTGTATGGTTTCCATCTCCCTGAGTGTTACCCAGAAACAATTTTATGCAAACTGAACGTTGTCTTTAACATCATATCCTTTACCTTTTTGTCATTGCTGACCAATCCCAAAAATTTATGCTTATGCCAACCTGCTTGAGATGTACTTAAATCTATGTAGTGACTGTGTGCAGGTAAATTTTCACCTGAAATCGTTTTACTTTCCACCTGTTTCCTTTGAAGAGTTTGCACAATACAAAAACCTGTCGACTATTGAGTCCAAGTTCCAAAACCCAGAACTGTTTCTGGATTTGTTGAGTTCATTGACGTATAAATAGAGCCATATAGGATATAATGTTTGAAGTATTTCTGTCTTTAATGTTTGAAGCTCTGTTTTGTCTGCTTTCTTGTCTAACATTGCGGGTAGTTCATATGCTTCAAAGTTTCTGGCATGATCTTCGATATTCCTGCAACTGTTATCTAAATTGTTAAGAGTATCTTTTACGCTGTACTCGGATTCTCTAAAGGTGCACTTGAACCAAGGTCAAAGTTCAATATTATGTCGTCTGCTGTAAAAGTTGTAAAACTTGTATGTGTATGAGTCTTATTTGCTTTCTTCTCTAACTCATCGTTAACATAAGTTTTTATCTGCTTTAAGGTCTAAACATCCTGAAACCCATCCTGTATCAGCTTTAGTTTTTAAAATCTTCGATGTCCATTCATGATACCATTCAGCCCTTTCTTTAATTTCATTATCTTTTTCATCACCATATTCCTTATCCGCCTTCTTCACTAACACACTAGCCATAAGTCCCTTATCTACTTATTTTCAAGGCTAACGTTTAAGTCTGTTATTTCAGATATAGAATGTATATGAGTCTTTTTAGAATATTCGTTTTCAGCTCTTGTCACTTCACTTGACATTTTATTGTCAACATATGTTTTGTCTGCTAGTTCAGGATGAGTATGTTCTTTTGTTGCATAAGCATTGTTAGCTCTTTCTTCTTCTTTTGCTATTGCATCGTCTACATATTCTTTGTCAGCTTTGTTGTCAACATCTGCCTTCAAAAGAAGTTCATTTATAGGTTTCTCGTTTAAAGTTCCTTTTGTTGGATTTATACAGACAGTATGGTTCTTATTGTCTTGAAATAGAAACTCATCTGTCATTGGGTTTATTGTCAGTTTTAAGTTTCCTTCTTTCAATGACTCAGATATCTTAGAATAGTTTGAAAAGTTTGTTGTGTTCTTATTTAGAGCTTGCACAATGAGTTGTCGGTTGTGTTGTATTTCTCTCATAGACGCTGTTTCTTTCGACATTTTTATTCTAGATAAAATATGCTTTCAATAGAAAAAGAAAATTCAAGAGTTGCT